ATGAAACGCATTTCAGTAAAATTTTGATACATGCGAAATTATATTTTCAAAAAAATGTGATTTATTTTGTTTAGTTGCACCAAATTAATTTCGGTTCGATATGTTCAATATTCAACTATTTTCACCTTTGAAATAAATTCAATTTTATTCTCGTTTGATAAATTTTGGTTCATTTCATTCCATTTTAACCTCAAAATTTTTACCGTTTTCTCTTGTTTTACTTTTTCTTTTATTCCTCTCAATCCTAAAAATCATTTTCTATTTTTTTTTATCAAAGACAACCACCACAAGATGCAATCCTCTGCCTTACCAATGTAGCCTGGGAAGAAGATAATAAAGCAGCCGGTCCAGGATGGATTTTCCATGATCAGTCCTAGCTCCCATAAACTGATAAACATATCCAATAATTAGGCACCAAAAAATAGTGGCCACTTCTTGACGAAGTTTAAGTCACCTTTTTTTTAGTGACATGCTCGTAGGCAACTATAGTCACTGTTTATCCAGGTTTTTTTTTTGATGAAAAAACAAATTTTTGATCTGTTTTTTTATCTGTCACTCGGCCATTAATTTATCGGGTTTTTTTTTACCTAGAGTTCTACTTAGTCCAACGGATCTCTATTATTTACCATCATAATCTGAATTGACTTCCCTAAACGAGTTTTAAACCTTCTTATTTCATACTACACAGCCGTGTAGATATATTTCTACATTGCCTTTGGAGGATTTACATAGGCATCGTGACGACTGGTTCCTAACACATATAACAACTAACTAAAGAGAGACATTAATGCACGGAATAAATATGTATACATCACATTTTTTGGCACATTTCTTGCTCGACGTATGTCACATGAATTACAAAACACAAACAGAAAACAAACGTACATATATAATATATTCGTAGACGTATACGTTATAAAGTCACCCACATGGAAATGCCAATAATAACGCTCAACAAACCATGACACATTTAACCACACAACACACATACTCCAATATTATAATGTATCTTAAAGTTCTTACGTACATTCATACTCTTTTGAACATCTAACGCTTAACAAACCCTAATCAATTTATGATGATTATACATGCATAATATATAATTAGAAGTTTCTTTTAACCGAAAAATCTTAAATCGAAACTTAAGCTTATCTTTGATCCCATGCGTCTAATAGTCGTCGTCGACCAATAGGAAATAATCACTTGGTCTAGTAACTTAAACCCGATTCTTCACAGATCCACAACTATGTTTCTTATCGAGTTTTCTTCTTTTTTTACCAAAGAAGAAGAAATCAAGATTGTAAAGAAGTGGAACCATCACGACCGAGCACAAGAACACAAGCACCGGTCCAAATATCCAAAGCATTAAAGGCAACGCCGCGTAAAACAACCGATTCCCCACCGTGTTCAAAACAAACCCTCTCTCTAGCAACTCTGCCACGTA